GATTCTAGCAGTCCCATTCACACCCTCAATTTTGTTTCCCCTCAGCCACTATAACTCGGTGGATTGAATCAAGAAAAACGATTTACCTGCAGCAACTAGATCCACAAGTACAACAGCAAAAAAAGCCTAAATGTGCAGGAGGTATGTAACCCCCCCCACACACACACACACTCACAAACCAGGAATCCAAGGTTAAAATGATTTATGAAACGTAGAAATTTACTTTTACTCATAATATGTTATTCACCCTTTTTCATTTTACTCTTACTCCAAGAGACAGTCTCGGTCCAGGCAGTGAAGGGACTTAGAAATCTGTTTCGGAGAGATTACTTACCTGAGTGCTTCGTCGAATTATGCGAATCGTTTTATTAGTTTAGTAGAAAATTGATTACTGAATCTTAGGTAACAACAAATTTCTAACCCCCTCCTCTTCCAATAAACAGTTAAAAACTTCTGTCGTATATGACAAAACCTTTGCGTACATCCGTTGCGAGTACAGCCCATGGGTGTGCGGACTAGGTCAAGCAAAAACTGACTGGAAAGTTTAAATTTGCTGTTCCTGAGAAACTTGCTCGGTATGACGTCATAGTGAATGTGTGCAAGGTGGACCAACGACACGTGCACTCAAGATTCTCTCATCCTCGGGATTTTCGCTGACAATAAAGGACGATGCGTCTTGTTTTTGACCAAAACAATTTTCATGAGGCCGTATTGTTATTTTTGATCATTAGTCGACAAAAAAAACAACAACCCTGTTTGATTGTTGAAATGAAATCCCTTATCGTCTGTGAGAAATTCTTTATAAAGTTTTCCCGTGATAATAAGTTAGTTTCCTTTCGCTACTGACTTTTTAATAATGAATGTAAGCCACAATCGTCTCGCTGGTAACAAGACAAAGAATGGGACTAAGAGGAACATTGTGATTCTATGGATTGTAGTCGCGACACTGACATTTGTCCAGCACTTTATGCTGGGGTCTGACATGAACATGCACTCAGGCGATTACGCAAAGTTTCCGATATCCCAAATCCTTGCCATGTAATTTATCAGATATAATAACTATGAATGCTTGACAAAAGCAGATATGAGCAGGATTTACATCTGTCGAGGTGCATGAGCCGAGCATGTTGACTAAGCACTCACAATCCCGGTCGCCCAGACTTGTCCATGTCGAGGTGAGAGGAGAATCCAATGGGATATAAACCACCCCATACCCCCCGGGGAATGATTTGCTCGTTATTTCCAGGACATTTCCCTTCACGCACGGTTTGAACTAATTCAGCGCGATTTGTTTTACTCGTCAGAGTTATTTACCTTTTGTCTTTAATCCCAGTAATCATTAATTTACACTAAGTTCGAATTGAAGAGAATCCCAAAGCTGAATGTAACGGGTGTTACACACAAAAACACTTGTCAGAGTTTTTTTTTCTTCTTTTGTTTCATATATACCATCCAAGTGTTCTGTCTGATGGGTGGATTGCAGTTTTGTTTGTGCCTTTTACTTTTGTGCATTTAATAGCAAAAATCCAAACACAACCATTGCAAAGTATCACTTATACACGGAAGTGATGATGATCTTCTTTGATATATGATTAACCCGCTAGAAGTACGTTAGTTGCCAGTCAAGCTTTCCTGCTTTATTTTTTTTATAGATAGTTTTATTCTGGACTTGCATAAGTTTTACTCATTTATTCGAGGGTTGAAGTAAGACCTGTGATTTAGATAATGGTATCTGTATATTTAATTGCTCACTTGCAAAGCAATCCCGCAAACTCTTGCCTATTCTAAAATCAAAATTACATAAATGACAGTTACTGTGTTTCCCCAAGGTATGGCTACAATACTTGTCAAAGTTTATGTGTGCATAAACTGTGGGAAACAATTCAGGGTATGAATTTGAGTCTAAGGACTTTTTCAACGTATGGTTGAAAAATACCGTCCGCTAGTGCAAGGATTCTAAGATTCCTCACCTCACTATTTTTCACTTTGAGTTTAAATTCAATCTTGAGGTAATGTTGTCTATTTATAGTACTTGTTGATCGATCAGTTTTAGTTTTCTGTGTCTTATGACTCGAGCAGCGTGAAAAACGAAAAGATACTCCGTGTCAAACATGGACAACGCGACAGGAGAACGGTGCCCTTTGCGAAGGCTTCTCGCACACACACGACCTTCCACACTGTGCCTGTTGACGTGTGTAATACTAGCTCACATAAACAGTGACGTCACTGCCGCCTTACCAGAAACATGTGAGTCTCAGGTTTACGAAACCCTGTTTCATGATTACAAAGCCGCCGTTCGACCTGCCGTGTCAGCAGAAGACGAGATTCCCGTGGGTGTGTATGTAGGACTCAACAACATCATAGAGGTGGACTCCAAGAAACAGTCGCTGGTTACCGTGGGGTTCATCGTCCTCAGCTGGTACGACCCTAGACTAGTGTACAACATGACTGAGCCCAGGTGAGAGGCCAAACGCTAAGCCCATGATATTACAGACAATGACGTCACAGCACATAGTACTGTGCTCTTGTCTTCTGAGATTCACACTCGTTTCGTTCAAACCGATGTCACTGCGCACTGATGTCTCTGACATCACAGACTTCGCTTACGGACTTTTCCAGAGAACGAAATGAACAGCCAAAGAGCGACCCGACTCGCATGTCAATATATGATAGTCTCCAACTACTATAACTAACTAGTTGGGGCCTAATTTTATTTGCCTCTGCTCCACCCCCCCCCCAACCGCCCAACCGCCCCGCACGACAACAATTAAAGCTATTTTTTTAAAAATATGATAACAACCCAAGGGCTAACTGTAGTGATACTTTTCGTGGTTTGCATGGTATTTTTATAAAAATATATTTCTGTATCTTTAATGTTTTAGCATTCATTTGGTTACTGCTAAATTTGTCTTTAAAAAATTATGTAAGGTAAGACAAAAAATGTATCCATTTACCAATTATACACTCGTATATTTAGCTTTGTATTTACTGGCCTACTTACAGATTCATACGTTTATTTGTATTTATTTACCTGCCTGTCAATTTGTCTAGTTTTCTATTTGTCTATTTATGTGTTATTTATTAAAGTATTTTATATATATATATATATATATATATATATATATATATCTATCTATCTATCTATCTATCTATCTATCTATATATATATCATCAATGCCTTTCACCCCTGGCAGGGTATAGGCCACATACAAGCTCCTTCCATTTATCTCTGTCCCGAGCCATCCTTCCAAGCTCGTTCCAAGTGAGCTTCATTTCTTTCATGTCCCTTTCCACGCATCTCCTCCATGTTTCCCGTGGCCTACCCCTGCCTCGTGCTCCTTGTGGGTTCCACTGCAGTGACTGTCTTGTGATGTTTCCGCTGGGCTTTCTTAAGGTATGTCCCATCCATCGCCACTTTCTTAGTCCTATTTCTACTTCTATATCCTTTTGTCCTGTCCTTTCCCACAGCTCTTCATTTCTTATTCTATCCTGCCACTTAATTCTTAGAATACTCCTCATACATCTGTTGATGAAAGTCTGGACTTTATTCAGTACTGTTTTCGTTGTCTTCCAAGTTTCGCAGCCGTAGAGGAGCACAGACTTGATGTTGGAGTTAAAGAGTCAAATTTTGGTGCGCAGTGAGATGTTGCTTGCTTTCCAGACTTTTGATAATTGCTTGAAGGCTGACCTTGCCTTGGCGGTTCTTGCTTTAACGTCTGCCTCGGTTCCACCTTTACCATCGTTGACACTTCCAAGGTATGTAAAGGAGTCCACTTCTTCCAAGGGAGTGTCTTCCACTATCACAGCAGGGCTTGAAACTTTCCTAGCTTCACTACTTTTGACTTGCCTGGATGTATACGTAGGCCAACACTCCCTGATAGGTTGTTGAGTTCCTTGGTCTTTTCTTGCATCTGAGCATGTGTGTGAGAGAGCAGCGCAAGGTCATCGGCGAAGTCTAAGTCGTCCAGCTGCTGCCAAGGGATCCATTGTATTCCATTACGTTTCCCTCTGGTGGCTTCTTTCATGACCCAGTCAATTGCCAGTATGAAGAGGAAAGGTGAGAGCAAGCATCCTTGTCGCACTCCTGTCTGTACCTGGAATGGTTCTGAGAGTTGTCCTTCGTGGAAGACTTGGCAGCTTGTTCCATCATAGTTGGCCTTCGCAAGCTTGACGATTTTCTCAGGTATTCCAAAATGCCGCATGAGTTTCCACAGAGTTTCCCTGTCCACGCTGTCAAACGCCTTTTCATAGTCAATGAAGTTGACCACGAGTGGTGAGTTCCATTCAAGCGATTGCTCAACAATGATACGCAGAGTAGCGATCTGGTCCACACATGATCGGTTTTTGCGGAATCCTGCCTGGTTTCCTCGAAGCTTCTCATCTGTTGCCAACTTGATTCTTTCCAGGAGTATCCTGTTGAAGACTTTCCCAGGTATGGACAGGAGTGTAATGCCTCTGTAGTTGTTACAATTGCTGAGATCTCCTTTCTTTGGCAGCTTGATTAGGTGGCCTTCCTCCCAGTCTGATGGTATTTCCTCCTTTTGCCAAACCTTTTCAAATGGAGCATAGAGAATTTCCCCAAACCTATCTTTCTCTGCCTTAAGGGCTTCCGGTGGTATATGGTCGGGACCAGCTGCCTTGTGGGACTTCAGTGTTTTTATAGCGGCTGCAATTTCCTCTCTTGAAGGTGGTTCCGTGACTATTGGAAGGTCATTTCTGGCTGGAAGAATTTCTGGTTGGTTTTCTGGAAGTGGTCTGTTCAATAGTTGATCAAAGTGTTCTCTCCATCGGTTCAGTTGCCCCTCTGGGTTGAAGATAGTCTTTCCCTCTTTGTCTTTCACTGGTAGAGTGGGCTTGCTGAACCTACCTGAAAGAGTTCTTGTAGTCTGGTGTACAATCCGTAAGTGCCCGTCTGTTGCTGCTTTCTCAGCCTTTTCGGCCAGGCCATTCAGGTAGGTATTCTTGTCCTTCTTGATGGAATTCTTTACCTCCCGGTTTATTTTGGTGTACTCTTGTTGTGCAGTGAGTTTCTCAGTTCGGGCACGGCTGTTGTTGACTTGGGCCTTCAGCTCTCTTCTTCTTTTGACTTTGTCTAGGGAGTCCTGTTAAATCCATTCATTCCTGGTGTTGTCTTTGGGTCCTAGGTGCTCTGGCAAGTTGCATTTACTGCCTCTCTTATCTTATCCCAGTGTTCGTTGACTTCACATTCATCCAGATCTTGAAGGGCTTAAAATCTGTTCTTCAGTTCCAACTTGAACTCATTCTTCTTTATTGGGTCTTTCAGAAGGCTCACTTCATACTTTAGACGATTTCCAGCTGTGACTTGTGCATATCTTCTCAGTTTTAGTTTCATCTTTCCAAGGATCAAATGGTGGTCTGATGCGACGTCTGCTCCTCGTAAGACTCGGACGTCCTCCAGTGAGCGTCTAAACTTTCGGGAGATGCAAAAGTGGTCAATCTGGTTTTCCGTTGTTCCGTCCGGGGAGACCCAAGTGGCCTTGTGAATCCTTTTATGTGGGAAGATTGTACCTCCGATGACCAAGTTGTTGAATGTACAGAAGTTTTGGAACCTTTCTCCGTTGTCATTTGCCTCTCCTAATCCGTGTCTGCCCATGATTTCCTCGTTGTGACTATTGTCCGAACTACCTTTGCATTTAGATCTCCCATGACAACGTTGATGTCCTTACCTGGGAGTTTGTCCATGACATTCTGCAGGCGGTTGTAGAAGTCATCTTTATTCTCCACTTCTGCATCATTGGTTGGAGCATACACTTGTATGATGTTCATGTTAATGACCTTCTTCCTACCATCTCCTACCTTGAGTTCTTTCTTAGTTCCAAGTGAGGCCCTGATGATCCTTGGACCATGTGCTTCCCAGCCCCTGAATGTCTTTTGAGCTGTTTTTGATATGATCATCCCTACTCCTTCCCTGTGTGGTCCATCACTGTCATTTCCTGAATAAATAAAAAGCCCCCCCTCTTTCATTCGCTTCTGTCCAGACTGGTTCAAGTGGGTCTCGCTGATTCCCAGTATGTGTAGTTGGTATCGGTGCATTTCTTGGAGGACTTGTGCAGTTTTTCCAGCCACATAAAGGGTCCTAACGTTCCACGAGCCGATCCGAAGAGACTTGGACTTGGATGATGGTGGAGGCTTCTGCCCAGCAGCTTCCTTTCAGCTTTCACTGCCTTGCATCATAAACTCTCCACTTGGAGAAGATCCACGATCAGCCAAGCAGAGATAATGTTTTTTGCTTGTATGTGTTTCTGTAACAGGTTCTTTTTACGAGAGAGGTTGTTAGCCTCGTGACTCAACCCCCGACCTGACGGCAGGATGACTCTGTTTCAGGAGTCACTACCTGGTTCGCCATTTAGTCGCCTCGTACGACACGCTAGCACCACGTCAGTCCTATTCTTCTTAATGCCGAGACTGCACGGCTTATATATA